TGTTGTAGTTTGAAACTTAGATTGTTCTTGTTATTTTATCATATTGGTTTATTTATTCAATCTTGCACTTAATTATTTGATTGCTTGATCACCAATTGAATATTATCTACGAATCTAGGATTGAACTCGGGAGAGGGAATTCTAGATTGCATATTATATTGAGTAGAGCAAGATCTTGAACTCGAGTATCGGGAACAAATTTGCAGTTAGGATAGGAATATACCTAATCGCCTTGCTTGGTTATTATACAGGAATTATAAATGCGTTCTTGTTAATCCTAATTTCATAGGAATATAGGCGTTAGGCTAGCTTGAATAGGCGAGTTGTACTTCGGGAGAAGGCTACGAGCAACATTAACCCCGTCAATCAATAAACCAGATAAATTAGTTAGACAATTTAGGTAGAAAACTCAACGGGATTGTTAGCTAACCCATAGCTCTAGAATATCGTCTCCCATTGAATTCGTGTCTAAGTTCGCTAATTTGTTTCCTAGTTTTCTACTCTAGATTATCTTTAGTTAATATTCATACTTTAGAATTCGTTTGAATAGATTAATTATTTGGGTTTAATTTAGTTGATAGTTAATCACAAGTCCCTGTGGGTACGATATCTGGACTTACAATCCTATATTACTTGTCGACCACGTATACTTGCGTGTGCGTTTGGGAGCAACAGCCCCAGGCCCAAGTATACGTATACATAACTATGACCTCATGCCCAAACATGCATAAAGCATAAACTACGGTCTCAGGCCCAAACATGCATAAAGCACCGTGGCCTCAAGCCCAAATATGCATAAAGCATGAACTACGACCTCAAGCCCAAATATAGATGTTTAACATTTAGGATTTAAAATAAGGAATTGAGAATCATATTGCAATACATGATACTAAATACTAAACCATACTGGTTTACATGATACTGAAATGCTGAATAGGACTCGACTGGAATATGTAAAATGATCTGTCATAACTGAGACTCATGGGATATTGAATGAATTATGAAACCACATCATCTAGAGAATAGAAATTTTACAAGTATTCATGGAGCTGAGGCGTAATTACTTTCTGAGCAAATTTGTAATAGTCATAAGAATGAGTGTATGGAGAATCATAAACATTCCCAAACGTTGAAAGTTAGCCTCACATACCTTAACTTTCTGCTCTTGAGCCTAATACAATGTTTGTCTACCCTTTCAACTTTAATCTATAGCAATACAAGTCAAAGGGATTCCATATTAGTAATAATACTCATGTTTTGGTCACTTAGGCATTTTATCAAATATTTGGTGGGTATAAAGCTTCATAGCCCTTATTAATAGTGTTTCTTCACCCAATAACCCATTCAATTTCTCCTAGATAAATTCTAAAATCTCAAATGGTTATAATCAACATCATCCTTCATCACCCATAAGATAAACAACACCCTTAACCAATAATCAACAATCAACAACCCAAACCTATAACCGTTCATGCTTTTTTGTCAAACCCATCAACTCATATCTCATGAACTAGAGCCTATAATCATTAATCCAGTACTATAATCAAGTAGAGAGAGAAGATATTATCTTTTTGACGTTCAATCCTCTTGAATTTGAGTTCTACAGTTTCTTTTCTCAACAATGATATCCATTCGAATATCTAATGATTTGAAGGTTTTACCCATGTTAATAAGGTGTTAAAGAATTGAAATTACTTAGAATCACCATTAGAACTCATCTTGGATGGTGGAGGGACCTTGGGGAAGATTAGGTCTTGAGAGCTTTCCTCTCTAGAGCAAGTTTTTGTGTTTTGCGGTGTGGGGGACGAAGTAGAGCTTTTAAAATGACCCCCGGGTGTGCTCCCATGCACTTGAAGGACCAAACGTGCACCTGAACGCGCAGCAGGGCAGTAGCACCGCCACAAGTGCGCGGCCGCGCATGGGACCATCCGGGTGCGCACCTGGCGCGCATACTGCACATTGTCCAGTAAAATGCGCGTAACTTCTTGCACAGAGATTCTTTGGGGCTTCACAATATATCGTTGGAAAGTTATTTCAAAGGGCTACAACTTTCATGTTTTGAGACAGACCTTTCGTAAACTTAGTCGATTTTATCGAATCTTATGCACCTCACTCTCCGTCTTGATTCTAAAATAACTATTTCCACCCCTACTCATCCCGATAGAATTTCACGTGTCTAAACTATTATATTACTACTCATTTAACACGTCCACACCTAAGCCAAATTTATGGAGTGTTACAGAAAAGTTGACGGATCAATTGTATAAAGATGTATTTTGCTATATAATATTAAAAATGGCTATAATAATAATATTTTTAAAGTGTTTTGGTTTATAATAAATAGGGTGCAATATTTAGCTATAGCATGTAAAATTTTCTATTATTTTCTGGTTTGGTGATGTTAAGATATTCAACGCCCAAAAGACGATTCTTCTAAAAATAAAAATAGCAATTCTAATAGGAAAATGGAATAACTTCTTGATTAATAAAATTTTCATTATTACCTTCTTCCGATGACAGAATAAGAGCAGTAAAGTCTGTTTCTAAGTTTCAAAGTTCTTATTAATAAATATTTCAAAATATACATTTTCTTATTTTTCTAAATCTGTATTTAGGAGTAATACTAACATTCATAAGATCATTTCTTTATATACATATTTTGTGGAGTACTTACTAATTATCATGGGATACACATACAATAAAAATTACTAAATATAGTTAGATAAATATATGATAAAAATTCATAACACATAAGTCACAGAGAGAGATTGATATACGCCCATATTTTCCGGGATCTTTTTCAAATAGCCATCACTATAAATTATTTACCCGCCCCTACCCATAAAGTTTTTCTCTAACCTTTTTTTTTCTTCTAATGCCAGCCCTTCCAACTAAATAAAGTCAAACTTAGCTACAAAAATCAAGCCAAGCCAAGCCAAATCAAATCAAGTCAAGTCAAGCCAATTCAATCAAACCAAGTTAAACCAATCTAAGCTAAATCAAGCTATGTTAAGCCATTTGGGTAAGAAAAGTGGGATGAGTAGGTAGGTTGGGTAATTAGTTTTAATTTGATAGGTATATATTATAAAAATTGCACGTGATGCCCTATTTGGTCGCCCCCATATAATCTGTACCTATTTTTAATTTTTTTAACTTGTTTCTAATGCCAGCCCTTCCAACTAAATAAAGTCAAACTTAGCTACGAAAATCAAGCCAAGCCAAACCAAATCAAGCCAAGCCAATTCAATCAAACCAAGTTAAACCAATCTAAGCTAAATCAAGCTATGTTAAGCCATTTGGGTAAGAAAAGTGGGATGAGTAGGTAGGTTGGGTATTTAGTTTTAATTTGATAGGTATGTATTGTAAAAATTGCACGTGACGCTTTATTTGGTCGCCCCCATATAACATGTACCTATTTTTAATTTTTTTAACTTGTACCCATTATTTAAACAACTTCCGGCCTTTTTCTCCTCTTTCTTCTTCTTCTTCTTCTTCTTCTTCTTCTTCTTCTACGAGTAACAATAATTATATATGTTGTTTGTGAACATATTTTAAGGTAATTTATGATGTTTTATAGTGGTGAGTTGTTGTGGCGCTTTATTTTTTACTATTGCTTAGGGTTTCTTCTTTTTCTGTTTCTTAATTAATTGCAAAATGGATTCGTTAGATTTATTGTTGTTTTGGCAAATTGATGATTGGGGTTTGTTCTTGATGATATTTGGATGTTATGTTTCAAATTTGAGCTTATGTAGATTAGATTTAGGTATTAAATTGTATGTTGGATTGTTAAAATTCGAAGAATAAATTTCTATTTTCGGGCAATTCGCACTTCGGGCCTATTTGGCCTTAAGTGCATGAAAATGTTGGTTTCACTTCAGACCTTTTGGCCTTAAGTTCATTTGAAGTGCAATTTTTCACTTCAGACTTATTGGCCTTAAGTGTAGGGAAACGTTTGTTACACTTTAGACCTTTTGGCCTTAAGTGCATATGAAGTGTAATTTTTTACTTCAGACTTATTGGTCTTAAGTGTAGGAAAACGTTTGTGCACTTTAGACCTTTTGGCCTTAAGTGCATATGAAGTGCAATTTTTCACTTCAGACTTATTGGCTTTAAAGTGCATGAAACCATTGGTTCACTTCAGACCTATTTGGCCTCAAGTGCATCTGAAGTGCAATTTTTCAATTCAGACTTATTGGCCTTAAGTATAGGAAAACGTTTGTTGCACTTTATACCTATTTGGCCTTAAGTTATAATTTTTTTACTTCAGACCCGATAAAGTCTGAAGTTGAACGTAAAGTGAGTAGACTTGCAGTTTTTTTACAAATTGGTTATAGGTTCAATTATAATTCCAAAACTAGTTATAGATGCAAAAGTATTATAATTAGTTTTCAAATGGGCTTAGAGCCTGTTTGGATTGGCTTATTTTAAGTGTTTTTAAGCCAAAATAACTTTTAAGTTATTTTGTAGTGTTTGAATAAAGTAAAAAGATGCTTTTAAGCATTTATTTTTAAGCTAAAATGACGAAAATAAGAGGGTGTTTGGCTTAGCTTATAAGCTGGTCAAACTGGCTTATAAGCACTTTTTGGCTTATCTACGCATTTGGTAAAATTAAAAGTGCTTATAAGCCAAAAATAAGCCAAAAGCCATAAGTTGGTCTCCCCCAATTAACAAATTTCAGCTTATAAGCACTTTAGGTTTGACCAAAATAGTTACTATTCTATCCTTAAAATACTTCTTTTTAGAACAAAACTTTTCGTATACCCAATTCTTCAGCTGCTTATTATTAATTTCAGCACTTTTATCCAAACACGTGATTGGTTATTTTTTAAATCAGCTTAGCACTTAAAAGTGCTTTTCAGCACCTAATGCTTATCAGCTACTCTAAATCAGCTAAGCCAAACGGACTCTAAGCCAAAAGCTACCATTAGTGGCTTTTGGCTTAAAAGTCAAGCCCATCCAAAGGAGCTCTTAAGCTTAGTGGCTTCATAAATTGCTCATATTTTCCTCAGTACTTCTAGCCCACGCAAGTCGCTTTAGCTAGTACCGGCACCTGATCTCCAATTCTCTCTCTCTCTCTCTCTCTCTCTCTTAATTCACCTAATTTTTTTCTTTTAACCCAAATTCGAAGCAAATTTCGAAGGCATTGTTCTTCTTCCTCTTTAAAGGTACCTTTTTATATATCCTTTGATTCATTTTTTCCCCTTGTTGTGTGTTAAGATATTCATTATATTTGTCCTGCTTAGATCTGTTTATACCCCTTTTTAAACAAAAAATTAAAAGAAATCCCTTTTGTTCACTTTTTTTTTTGGGTTTATAGGAATTAATTTTCCCCGTAGGGGGGTTGTCTTGCAAGCTTGAGTCTTTTTACAATTTTTGGTTCTTGAATAGTGTTTAATGTCCTTTTCTAGTTAAAGGTTCAATCGGGTTACCTTTTTTTTTATTTTTTTTTATTTTTTCTAAGGTGTGAATAACTTGCTGTTTTCTTTGCAGAAATATTGTTTTTTTGCTGATTCTTGAAATTTGTTTTAGGGCTCCTCTGTTGAATATTTAGGTGTAGGGGAACCACTTTTATGGAATTTGAATGCCAAAGAGGTACTAAAATTGGTTTGAAAGATTGTTCTATAGATTGTGTAGACTACCCCTGCAAAGGAAAAGCTGATTCTAGTTTTACTGAACCTTCAAAGAACCGTAAGAATTTCGCGTTTGACTCAGAGAAACAGAAATCACTGTGGAGATTGGATGGGGAAGGTGGTAGTTTGAGTTTGAAACGCGAGGAGTCGCTCGCTGTTAAGGAGGTTCTGCTTGATTGTCGGTCTATTACTGACCTTCCTCCGGCATTGATCTCAGAAATACTTAATTGCTTAGAACCGAAGGAACTTGGCATTGTTTCTTGTGTGAATACGTCATTGTATCGTCTTGCTTCTGAGCACCATGTGTGGAAGGAGTTCTATTATGAGAGGTGGGGGCAGCCAATATTGCTGGCACCTTTGGGCGCAGAGCATGCGGATGAGAAGTCGTGGAAGGAGCTTTTCGTGGAGAGGGAATTCCGTAGTAAAACATTCATGGGACGCTATAGTATTGATACATTGCATGGTCATACTGAGGCTGTTAGAACTGTTGTTGTTTTATCTTCAAAGAAGCTTGTGTTTACTTCAGGGTATGATCAGATAGTAAGAATGTGGGACCTGGAAGAAGGTTTATCCATTGCATCATCTCGCCCTCTTGGCTGCACAATTCGTGCAGTTGCAGCTGATTCAAGGCTCTTAGTGGCAGGGGGTACAGATGGATTTATACATGGCTGGAGAGCGGAAGATGGAAATCCACATCTCTTTGATCTTCGATCACCTCAGAACCAGAACATGGAATTCAGAGTTTGGAAACATGAAGGCCCAATAACATGTCTTGCATTGGATTTAAATAAGATGTACAGTGGTTCATGGGACATGAGCATACGTGTTTGGGATCGATCTTCTTTGAAATGTTTGGAAGTTTTAATGCATAATGACTGGGTTTGGAGCCTTGCTCCCCATGATACAACAGTGGCGAGCACTGCTGGTTCAGATCTTTATGTCTGGGATACTAATAGTGGATCAAAACGTGCTATTGTCACCAATGTTCATGCTGGTAATGCTTTTTCTTTAGCGCGAAGTCACACAGGGAAGCTCCTATTCAGTGGAGGGGAAGATGGAGCTATACACATGTTCGAGATCATTGGAAATGTTAAGTTTCATGTCAGGCGTGTGGCGACATGGATTCCTCACTCTGGTGCTGTTTATTCTCTTGCTTTTGAGTTCCCTTGGCTTGTTTCAGCTTCTAGTGATGGAAAACTATCACTTATTGATGTGAGAAAGCTGTTGAGGACAAAGCAGAGTTATGTGATGGAGAAGACCTGGAAGGTTGACAATTGCATTAAAAATGTAGAGCCGCCTCAAAGAATGCTACATGGATTTGGGAGCAATCTGTTTGCTGTGGATGTTGGTCCTGATCGTATTGTGTGTGCTGGAGAAGAAGGTGTTGTTAGGATCTGGAACTTCTCAGAAGCTTTGGAGATTGAGCAGAGAGTTCGAGCATTAAGAGGGCTAAGGTTAGAGAACAGAATGAGGAGGCGTAAACTTCAGTCTGTAATGACTGGTAAAGGTAGTCGCGGTGATCAGTGCTCAGTTGCTGCGAAGAAGAATCAAATGACTGGTGATAGGAACAGCTGGCGCAACAAGCGTAGGTTGACTGGAAAGGTGAAGGTCTAGAAATTATTGTAGTTTGTCAATAATTCCTAAATATGCTTTGCTCATTTCTGTAGTTTTACCCATTTCTGATTTAAATTGAAGGAACAAGCTGTTACCTTTGACAACCTTTTCCTTATTTGGTTGATTTCGTGCGTGTCTTATGTCACTGACAAGGGTCTACCAATTTTAATTCCTGATATATTTACAATGTAAATTGTTTCTTTTCTGGTATGGTTATTAGCCTCTATTCCTGTTTTTAATTCATTCTGGCAATTAAGAAGTCACATTTTGAACAGGTAAAGTAAAAAACTTGGCAAGAGGCAATTAATAAGTCAGATATATCATCAATAATAAAAAAGAAGAAGTCAGATTTATCATCTGCGGTTGTTGCTCAACTTGATATAACTTGCCTGCAGATTCTTGTATTGCTTTAACATACAGTGAAATCTTTAGATTGTATTTTTAATCCGATGGGGAACAATGGCAGACTGGCTGTTCTATGATACTCGCCCCAGTACTGGATACAGAGGAGCATATCCATTTTCTGCACTAGGATTTTAACAAATCTATTCACCTTTTACCCTGTAAAACAGCCTGAGGTCTTATACCAGTTCATCTTCATTGCTTTTGGTGTTACTAACAGCTTTTTCAGTACCTTCTTTCATGTTAACTACTACATTGACATTCACATAATCAGAGTCTTCATCCGTTGCAATTCTCTCTGACATTTCCTCCATGGGCAAAAGAACTCGGTAACTGATGTTGCCTTGAAATGTTCTGTTAAAAGGGCTGTAGGCTGTCCTATGCCCAGCTGCTGGTAAGAAACTGAAGACCACCTTGTTTGGAAAAGACGTTTTATATATTTAGAACATTATTGGAGGTTAATTGAAGCTCTTTTTGCTGCAATATGCATTTCTACCCGATGGTTCAAACTTTAAGGCAAAATACATACTTTACCCATCGACCTTGTCCCCAAATCCCTCTTACACACCTCTTAAATACGGGAATAATATTACACACCAAAACTTTTAAAGATGTGTCAATTACACACCACTTCGATGTTTGACCACATTTGCTTAAAGATTCCTCTTACACGCGCCAATCAGCATCTGACACGTGTCAAATCGAGGAAAAAAAAAGAAAAACTGAAAAGAACCACCCCCCCCCCCCCCCCCCCTCCTCATCTTCCCAACCCATCATCTTCTCCACCTTCACCATACTACCACCAACCCTTCCACCACAAGAACATTCTTCCCTGACTATTGATTCAATTCTTTGACGATTTTGAACAAGTTTTAACAACATCCATCGCTAATCCTTATTCAAATTTCAAATTCAAGCTCAAACCCAAAGCTTGGCGAGTTGTAGTTTGGTTTATTGTAAGGCCTTGTTTGGTATTTCAGCACTTCTCTGTGGATTCACCCTTTCTTTTCCTCATATTGTGGGTTACACAGACGTGGGAAGATCCCAATCGATTTATTAATACTTTCCATTCTATTTTATATATTACTCTTTTCTTTTTAGTCCGTAAAGAAGAGATAGACATCTTTCTATATTTGCAAAACTCTTTAACTTTAAGCTTCATATTTTATGCTTAATGATAAATTGTTACAATAATAGTGATGTCATGACATATTTAATGGGGGACTATGGTGTTTAGTAACATTCCAAAAAGGGAAGAAACGTGCTGTGCTTATAAAGAAAAAGGGAAAGAAAATACAAAGTGTATGGCCTTTGTTATGGGAGAAAAACAGGCGGTTCACATAAATTTTGCTTCAAGACCCTTCGTTAAAACCTTTGTTTCATATGTCATTGCTCAATCAATTTTTAAAAAGTAATACTTGGAAATCATACACATGATAATGAAAATATTACCACAAACAAAAAAATTCAATATTTTAAAACCACTTTTAATGTTTATAGGTATAAAGCGACAATAATAGAAGAACACAATAATACCAATAAAATTACTCCATCAATATATTACAAATAGCGTTTAGACATAAATTCGGTTGAAACTTGAAAAATGAGTTTTTGAAGTTATGTTGAAATATAATTTTTGGAAGTTGAAGTTGAGTTTGGACATGTATTTTATTTGAAAAAAATTTATAGTTATGTGAGTTGGAAGGAAATTTTTAACTCAATACTGCCATAAATCAGTTTTTGAAAACTTGAAAAAATGAACAAATATTATTTTCTTTGGTTTTTTTAAAAAAAAACAAGCAGCCAAAAGATGACCATCAATTAGTGTGACTCAATTGCTACCGTCCCCCTCCTCTCTTCTCCTCCCTTCCTAAATAGTTAATCCTATCTCTCTTGTAATAGAAAAAAGAATTAACCCAAATAGCCCTACCTAATCACTTAAACTAAAAACAATCGATAAATATATATTAATTATGTGTATTTATGTATCATAGGTATATAACTGTATATAATTAATATATAATTTATGTATACCGGCCAGAAAAAATAAATATTGAAGTTTGATGCCTATTTGTGTTGAACTCCCTTTTTAAAAAAAATAAAAAATGCGAGGGGCAAAAGATAGAGTGTAACTTTTCCAAGAAAACACTGCTACTAAACTCTTAATAAGCTGTATTTCAGGAAGAAACCGGGAAAAAGAAACGAACCCAGAAATCCAAATTATTTTCCACAATGCGGTTCTTGAAAGGAAGAAGATGGGTTCTTGGATCAATTTTGTATGTGGGTTTGGTTGTAATGATGGATTTGTGCATGGGAAATGAGGAAATGATGTTATCAAATAATAGTTCGTGGTGGCCAACAGTGACGGGTATGTACATAATGGGGGATTCTTCAGTCGATTGTGGAGATAACACTCCTTTCTACCCAATTCTTCACCAAAATCTCTCTTTACACCCCTGTAATGGCTCTGATCAAACTCTCCTTCCTCAGCTTCTTGGTACTCTCTCTCTCTCTCTCTCTAGTTGCCTTTCGTTTTTCTATTTGTTGTATGTTATTTTCTGTGATCCTTTCTTGATGCTGGCGAGAAGTTTCAAGAAATGCTTGAAGTTCCAGTTTTGTTTCTTTTCTAGCTCTTCACTGTGTTTCTTCGTTTTTTCCCCTTTTATGGGTTTGGGGTGATTTGGGT